TGACATAAGCCTGGTGGGTGGGGGCGGGAGCACGTGACAGAGGAGAGAAGCCATCGGGGACGTGGGACACCCCCCAAAGGTGGCGCCAGAGGTGGTTCCAAGGGGACGAGTTCCTACTCCCAGAAGCCCGTGTGCCTGTGAGTGCCGGGCCGGGTCACCACCGGCCACGCTGAGGGACAGTCAGCCGTATTTCTTTTTAAAATATACTGTGATTGGTGTCAGAGAGGAAGGAGAGAGGAGAGAGAGAGAGAAGCATCAGTGATAAGAGAGAATCACGGATCTCCTGCCTCCTGCTCGCCCCACACTAGGGATGGAGCCCGCAACCCGGGCCTGTGCCCTGAGCAGGAACCCTGACCTCCTGGTTCATAGGTCGAGGCTCAGCCACCGAGCGCGGCGGCCGGGAGAGGGTGAGGGACGGTGTTGGGAACGCAGCTTTTGTACCGAGTCACCATCCCGATCAACCCGTCAGCCACCAGTCCCTGGGTCCCGAGCCCACAGAGGAGGAAGCGTGGAGGCGGCGGCCCTGACCTGGTCGCCCATGGGCTCTGGGAGCTGCAGAGGCCATGCCGGCCGCGAGGACAGCGGACAGCGGGCGGTCAGCGCCGGCCGGCCATGCGGCTTCTTCAGCGGAAACTCTGCTCTGTTACCGGGAAGACCGAGACCCGAGCTCTCGGCTCAGTTCCAGAAGCGCCTGCCCGGCACCGGGACCTCCCCGGCTCCAAACATAACTAACTTCTCACCCTGGCTGACCGGACAAAGTTTAAATAGGGAGGCTGAGCCCTTAGGGAAAACCCCAGGGCCCCCAAGGGCAGGGCGACCGCAGCCGGCCCCTCCCGCCCGCCTCGTCCCTGCGACAGACAATCTGATTCCAGCTCCTGCGCTTGGTGCCCAGCAGAGGCCGAGCCCGGCCGGGAGCCCAGTGACCAGGACGCGTCTGCACCTGAGGGACACGCCTGGCGTCCCCCCAGGACAGGAGAGCTAGGACCCCGGCCATGGCGCCCTCGAATGAGCAGCTGGAAACGCCACGACGGCTGCGCTGGAAGGAAATGTAAGCTAAATTCTCCGGAAAAAAGCCTGTCGGCAAAGAGTCTGCATTTCTCGATTCTCAGCGGCGGGGGTGCTGGGGCGCCCCACGGACGGCGAGGCCTCAAAGGGAGAACCTAGCGAGCCAACCAGGGTGTGCGGACCCCTCAGCGCGGCTGATTCTGCGAACAGCGCTGGGCAGCAGCCGCCTCGCCCCGAAGCTGCCTCGCCAGCGCCTGAAGCCTCAGCAAAGGGCCTCCCCTGCAGGCCCACTCCTCCCGCGGCCCCGGTACCTGAAGAGCTCCTGGGCGGCCCTGGGGATGAGTCCGGCGTCGCCCTGCGCCGCGCCCGGGGGCTGCGGGCCCAGCATGGTGTAGGTCTTCCCGCTCCCGGTCTGGCCGTAGGCCATGATGCAGACGTTGTACCTGGAAGTGAAGGGGCTCAGGGGGCAGCCACACGGCTCCAGGGGACCCGTCCCCCATAGGAGCACCTCCCGGCACCGCCTCTGTGACGGCCTTGCTCACGGCCCCTCCTGGACCTGCGGCCGCGGTTTGCTAAGTGGTCCTGGGGCTGCCTGGTGGCGCAGCAGGGACTGAGCCACACCAGTCACACACGCATCCCCTCGCCGCCGTGTTTCTCGTGTCAGCGTTCCCTCCTGGGACCCGGGGCTGGTCCCTGCCCCCAGCACATGCCCCCCCCCCCTCCCGCGGAGTCCCACCCCCCAGCCCACTCACTCCAGCTTCCGGGGCAGCAGGGGGCTTGCCTGTGGGAGCTCGTCTCCTCAAACCAGGCTGCCTGTGCCCTGGCGGCTGCTCAGTGGTCGGAGCACCGGAGGGGGAGGGTGTGGCTCCTGGTCCAGGGCACGTGCTGGGCTGCAGGCTCCTCCCGCCCTGGTCAATGCCCGTGCAGGGGGCAGCCAGTCCACGTCTCTATCTGCCCCCCCCCCTCCCACGCTCTAAGAATCGATGGGAAAATATGCGTGGGGATTTAAACACAGTCAGGCTTTCATGTACAGGGGAGGGGAGGGAGCTTGCATGATTCCCTGTGAGGATCTGAAAGGCACCCACTGCATAGGCGGCCAGCGCTGCGGACAAGAGCACAGCAAGGGCACACCTCTTCCTGCACTGCCCTCCCCAGGGACTTGGGAGCCAGGAGGGCCAGGTCCCCTCCGTGCAGGCGGGCTGTCCCCCGACCCTGCACTTTGGGGTGCTGCCCCGCAGCTCACTTCACAGATGAGGAATCCTGGCGACCCACACTTCCTGCCACTTGGGTTACGAGCCCCGATGCCAACGGGAGGACACAAACATTTGAAAGAATATTTGAGCCCTAACCGGTGTGACTCAGTGGATAGAGCGTCGGCCTGCGGACTGAAGGGTCCCGGGTTCGATTCCCGGTCAGGGCACAGGCCTGGGTTGCGGGCTTGATCCCCAGTGTGGGGCGTGCAGGAGGCAGCCGATCCGTGATTCTCTCTCATCATAGATGTTTCCATCTCTCCCTCTCGCTTCCTCTCTGACATCAATAAAAATATATTAAAAAAAGAAAGAAAGAGCTCTCTCGGGTTCTAGTGGAGGACATGCCCCATGGATGTCAGACCCAGGACCCCCTGAAGCAGGGCCTCGGGGTGGCAGCGGGTGGCGAGGGGGGACGTGACGTGCAGACACGGCCCTGTGACCTGACCCCACAGCAGTCACGGGCACTCGAGGCCTCCACTCGCGTTTGCACGGAGCTGGGCCCACTGACCTGACCACGTCCCAACTCACCCGTCCAGCAGAGACGTGAGCAGGGGGCACACGTCGGCAAACACCGCGGCCTGGCCCTCCGCCGGGCCGTAGACCCTGAGGAGCAACGCGACATGGAGCGTCGTTAGGGGGAGGGACTCTGGTACCAACACCCCAGCTGGGAACACCCCCTGTGCTCCCCCCCACACCCCGACGGCATCCAGACTCATCGTTTCCATCAATAAAAGATTGTAGCCCAGCCAGTGTGGCTCAGTGAGCATTGACCTATGAACCAGGAGGCCACGGACCAATTCCCGGTCAGGGCATGTGCCAGGGTTGCGGGCTCGATCCCCAATGGGGGGCGTGCAGGAGGCAGCCGAACCATGATTCTCTCTCATCCTGGATGTTTCTCTCTCTCTCTCTCCCTTCCTCTCTGAAATGAATAAAAATATATTTTAAAATAAAAGATTGATTTTATCACTTTTCAAGGCAGCAGAGGGTAAGGCTGCCTGTGGTACAATTTCCCTGAGCCCCCTGAGCCCCGGATGCGGATGCGCAAGGACCACAGGCTGTCACGGTCAAGACTGACCTTGTCGGGAAGACGCCCGCCAAGGAGGTGGCCACCACCATAAACTCCTTCAGTGAAGTTTTCGTTTCCGGCCACCCTGTGCGGTCCCTGGGGCCTCCCTGAGCTGCCAGGTCAGCACTGGCCCCTTCTCACCCACAGCAGCGACTGCTTAGCACACAGTTGCCCCCCAGGCCTCCACCTGTGAGCTGTCCCTCAGGCTCTAGTAAGTTTATTTTCCCGTCAGTTTTCCAAAACCCTGACACAAGCCAGGTGCTGGGTGAGCACAGCTGTCCCTCAGGCCTCCACCTGTGAGCACAGCTGCCCCCCAGGCCTCCACCTGTGAGCACAGCTGCCCCCCAGGCCTCCACCTGTGAGCTGTCCCCCAGGCCTCCACCTGTGAGCACAGCTGCCCCCCAGGCCTCCACCTGTGAGCACAGCTGCCCCCCAGGCCTCCACCTGTGAGCTGTCCCCCAGGCCTCCACCTGTGAGCACAGCTGTCCCCCAGGCCTCCACCTGTGAGCTGTCCCTCAGGCCTCCACCTGTGAGCACAGCTGTCCAGGTGGAGAGGCGGGAACCTGGCACCCCCAGCACGAAGCGCCTCCCCCTCGAGCGGCGCCCGACGCCCCTGCACGCGCAGGTTAACGCAGCGAATGGACAGGGCGCCGTGTCCTGGGACGTGAACGCGCAGCTGCGAGGACGTTAGCTTTTCCAAAGTCAGTTCATAAGCTTACTGTCCCCGCCCCCCACGTCACATGGGCCATCGGTCTGGGGAACGAGACAATTTGACTATAAAATTTATTCGACAAAACGAAGAGCAAGAAGGAAGGAGACCCTTGGAGAAGAACAGTGTGGGGCTTGAGGCGGCGCAGTCGGCCACGGGAATGAGCAGACGCCGCGGGCCGGAGAGCAGACCTGGAAATGGGGCCGTGGCCGTGGGGTGCGCCACGGGGACAGGCATCCCGCCACGGGAGAGGGGCTCTGGCCTGTGCTCTGCAGGGGGCGGGCAACGTGGACAAGACAGAACTGGACCCGTTCCTTAGGCGACACACCGACTGCATCCCGAACGGAGCACCGGCGTCACGGGGAGAAACCGGTGTTATCTTCATTCTTTCTTTTTTAAAGTATATTTTATTGATTTTTTACAGAGAGGAAGGGAGAGGGACAGAGAGTTAGAAACATCGATGAGAGAGAAACACTGATCAGCTGCCTCCTGCACGCTCCCTACTGGGGATGTGCCCGCAACCCAGGTACATGTCCTTGACCGGAATCGAACCTGGGACCCTTCAGTCCCCAGGCTGACGCTCTATCCACTGAGCCAGGGCTGGGCAAACTTTTTGACTCGAGGGCCACAATGGGTTCTTAAACTGGACCGGAGGCCGGAACAAAAGCATGGATGGAGTGTTTGTGTGAACTAATATAAATTCAAAGTAAACATCATTACATAAAAGGGTACGGTCTTTTTTTTTTTTTAGTTTTATTCATTTCAAACGGGCCGGATCCGGCCCGCGGGCCGTAGTTTGCCCACGGCTGCACTGAGCCAAACCAGTCAGGGCTATCTTCATTCTTTCACGGTCACGCTGTGGCGGCTTTTCCAAGAATTCCCTGGTTCCCCAGGCCCCGCCTGCCTCCTGCTCTCCTGCGACCATCTCGGTTCCTGCTTTCTGTTTGGGCCCAGATCCCACTTTAGCTTTCGCGCCAGGTGCGCCCTGTAGAGCGAGGCCCCTTCACCTGTGCACCTGGTGCCCACGTGCTCCAGCCCCGGGTGCGGAAAAGTGTGTCCCTGCTGCTTCGCAATTGGGGTGACTGCACCTCCTCATCAGACCTCGTGGGAACGCGTGTCTGTAACTTCCCGTCTAATGGCCTCCTGACAAGCACTTACCTCTCAAAGTTAAACGTCTTGTGGATGGAGTGGTGACCGGGCCGGCTGCACCTCACCAGGACGGTCTCCTAATGGGAGAGGGTGAAGGCGTGAGGCCCGGCCAGGCTCAGCGGCGACCCCGCACCGACCCTGAGAACAGACCCCGGGACACAGCCCCGCCCGCTCCGTCGCCATCTGCGCCGCGTTTTCCCCGACGGCACGGCTGAGTGGCCGAGACAGAGACCGTGTGGCCCTCAGAGGCGGCCACCCTGACCCTCGGCCCTTCGGAGGGTCTGCTGCCCGATGTGGGGGCCAAAGTCAGGGCCAGGGAGGGAGCCCAGGGCCCGGCCGGCACACGCCCGGCCGACCTGGGGGCGCACACACACGGGAACCTCCTGGCTCAGAAGCGAGAGCAGACGTGGGGGACGGAGCTGCGCGGTGGGGCTCCCACTAGCTTGTACGTGACTTTGCCCACAACAGCCGACAGCCGCGCGCAGGGACGCAAAGGCCGTGTCCAGCCAGAAACGCGGCCTCAGCTCAGCTTCACTTAAAGCAAAAACATCTGAGCTGGTTCCAATTCTAAAGCCAAATGCAAATTCATGGAGAAACAGGGGACAGGAAAGAGTTAAGGAACAGCCCTGGTCGGTGTGGCTCTCTCGGCTGGAGCATCCCGGGCACCCAAAGGCTGAGGGTCCGATCGCTGGTCAGGTGCGTATGGGAGGGGCTCCGGGTCCTGTCACCCCAAACTCTGAAGCAGATACGGGCGCGGCCTCGCGGGAAGGGCAGAGCCCAGGCTCCTGGCTCTGAGCCCGTCTGACCGCGGCCGCCGGCCCCCTCCCTGCGGCCTGGTCTCTGGAATTCCTCTAAAGTCACGCCAACGTGCAACCCCAGTGCCCGGGCGAGCTGCACAGAAACTCCCCCCGAGGGTCGGATGTCTCCAGACGCCTACACTTCAGTCATAAAGACAAACAAACAAGAAATGCAAAGGCTCACCAGGCCTCACCCCGAGGCTCAGCGACGCCATCTAAGGAGCCCAAGAAGCCACAAAACAAGCCTGAACCCAAAGACCCCGTGGCGCTCAGCACCGGGAGCCCTGGATGCGAAACGGCCTGGAGATGCGCCCGGAGCAGAGTCTAACCTTCGCCAACAGCCCCCAGGCCCCTCCTGCAGCCCACGGGTCCTCCGCATCACGACCCCACGCAGCCCTCATCTCCCGGTGAGACCCCTTTCCTGGGCCGTCACAGGGTCCTTTCACCTAAACCCCGAGCTGTCGGCCCCGACGACACCCTCCCTCGGGGGCAGGCACAGCCAGGCTGAGCGTTTCCATGGAAGAAGCAGGGCTGCCTGGTTGTATCTATTTTCATAGACGCGGCCCTGCCTCCCGTGGACGCACGTGCTCCCGGGGACGCCAGTGGTCCTGACCTTGCTCGGGGCCCCGAGAACCTGCCTTGAAGGACAGGCTATTTGTTAAGGACCCAGCAAAACTGGATCGCTGAACATCCCTCAGGCGCGCCCAGTCTTCCCATCTTTCCAGCACCTTCCTAGAGAGAGTTTGACCTCGCCTTGACCCTGTGTGAGCGACACCAGAAACTCAGTGGTGATGAGACTGACCGGCTCAATAACCCTGAGGATCTGGGCGAGCTCGAAGGCCCGGGTGGGTCAGCGCCGCCGGAAGGAAACCTGCCGTCAGACAAGCAGCTGTGAGTCCCATGAAAACCCAAACGGCCCTGAAGACACCAGGACCAGGCGGTGGCCAGACTCTCCGGGGGCTTTACTCACAGGCCGGCTCCCCAGACGATTCGACGCCGACTCGCACTGCACACTGCACGCTGCGTCCCCACCCCAACCAACACACTCGCTGCGGCCTCCCGGAGAGGAAGGCGGGCGCGGGAGCCAAGAGGGACGTGTCACCGCACCGATCGCTGGCTGTCTCAGCAGATTTAATGGCTTGAGGCCCTTGAACAAGCAAGTCTGTTAAGTTAAGAAACCACTTGCATTCTGCTGATTTTTAAAAACATAATCCAAAATGTCCCAATCCAAAGACTTTCATCTTATCTTGATGAGTATTTTTAAAACGTGCAAACGTCTGAGCTGGAGGAGGCGGTGGAGTTTGGAGGACGGGAGCACTGCCAATAGAGTAACGAAGAAGGACAGCGGGAATGAGGAGGAGCCGCAGCGGCCGGCCAGGCCTCGGGCTCAGATCCCGCCCCCGGGGGACCCTGGGCCAGGCCTCAGGCTCAGATCCCGCCCTCGGGGGGACCCTGGCCAGGCCTCAGGCTCAGATCCCGCCCTCGGGGGGGACCCTGGGCCAGGCCTCAGGCTCAGATCCCGCCCTCGGGGGACCCTGGCCAGGCCTCGGGCTCAGATCCCGGCCCTCGGGGACCCTGGGCCAGCCTCGGGTTCAGATCCCGCCCTCAGGGACCCTGAGCGCCGCCGGGCGCCCACAGCCGTGGAAGTGCAGGGACTCAGAAGTGCTCCAAGTCCTCGCAAAGGAGGGACTAATAGG